GTAAAATTCTTTCCACCTCCTCTAAAAATTTATCTACCTGGATCATTAATTCTGGTGCAACTGATCATGCCTACTGTTCCCTCGAATTATTTTCTTCTTATTAGTCCATTTCCCCAATTTCTATTCGTCTGCCTACTCGATCTTACTTGATTGCATCGTTCTCAAGGATAGTCATTCTTTCCTTCACTTTGATCTTGACTAACATTTTGTATCTTCCTAATTTCACATTCAATATTATCTCTGTTTCTCAAATTACTCTTTTTCGACATTGTTTTCTAACCTTTTATTCCCATTCTTGTCAGATACACTTACTCCAACATTTGGCGATGATTGGTTCAGCTAAAGTCTTCGAGGGGCTATACATTTTAAATGCAGATATGCTACCATCAACCCACAAATCTTAGATCAATATGTCCTCCACAGCTTCTGATTCAGATTTTACTTTTTGGCATTTACGGTTGGGTCATCTATCTAATTCTACCTTTTCAGTTTTGAATAAACATTTTTCTAGTTTTAATGGTAATCCTCATTCAATTACATGTGATACTTGTCATTTTGCCAAACAAAAAAAGCTTTCATTCCATGTAAGCAATACTTCTAGTAATAAAATTTTTGAGTTGATACATGTTGATATTTTGGGTCCTTTCTCTATTCCCTCTATTCAAGGACATAAATATTTTTTAACAATTGTAGATGATTACTCTTGCTACACTTGGTTGTTTCTAATGCAAAGTAAATTAGATACTAGAACTAAGCTTAAGAATTTTTTAGCTTTGATTGAAAATCAATTTTCTACTTTTGTCAAGATTTTAAGAACCAACAATGGACTTGAGTTTTTCATGCCCAATTTTTATGCTTCAAAAGGCATTATTCATAAAAAATCTTGTGTAGCAACTCCCCAACAAAATGGTATTGTTGAGCGCAAACATTAGCACATTTTGAATGTTTCTAGAGCACTTTTGTTTCAATCAAATATACCTATTGCTTATTGGTCTTTCATTGTTTTACATGCTGTCTTTATTATTAATCGACTCCCATCTCCCATTATTAAGAATTTTACACCTTTTGAAAAATTATACAATACTAAGCCCTCTTATTATGATTTCAAAGTTTTTGGTTCCCTTTGTTTTGCATCTACTTTGCAACATGATAGGTCCAAATTTGATCCTAGAGCTAAAAAGTGTGTCTTCCTTAGATACCCTTTTGGTTCTAAAGCCTACATTGTATTAGATCTCCATACAAATCAGATTTTTCTATTTCAAGATGTTATATTTTATGAATTTGAATTTCCATTGAAAACCAATTCACTCCCTCCCATTACCATAGATACAAAACCTAGTATTCAGTCTTTTCCTTCATTTCTAGGAGACATTTCATCTTCCACTACTCCTGAACCCACAACTATCTCTAAACCCACTATTGATTCTGAACCAAACATTGTTTCAGAACCTCCCATATCAGACCCAAAACCTTCTCCTCTTGCTGTTATTTTTTTCATCTCCTACTGGCTCTCACATTTCACATACCAATCCTGACTCTTGTCAAAACCTTCGTCGTTCCACCAAATCACGCAAGGCTCCTTCATATCTATAAGAATATCATTGTGCCCTTATTTCTATTGCTAACAAATCATCCAACACAGGAGCTCCTAGGTATCCTCTTTCCTCTGTTCTGTCTTATTCATCTCTTTCTTCTAGTTATAAAAACTTTGTCTTGAATATTACTTTTGTCCCTAATCCTAAAACATACATGCAAGTTGTTACACATTCACACTGGAGGGATACTATGAATGCAGAAATCCATGCACTTAAGCAGAATCAGACCTAGGTTGTCACTATATTACCACCTGGTAAGAAAACTATTAGCTGTAAATGGGTGTATAAGACTAAGTTAGAAAGGTACAAAGCCCCTCTAGTAGTAAAAAGACTACATCCAAACAGGACAAGTTGATTACTTTAATACTTTTAGTCCTGTTGCTAAGATGACTACACTGCATTTATTGCTGTCTATAGCTACTACCAAAAAATGGTTCTTACATCAACTTGATGTAAATAATGCTTTTCTTCATGTTGATTTACATGAAGAAGTGTATACGAAACTACCTAAGGGTTTTACACCTTCTAAGCCTAACATGGTTTGTAAATTGCAGAAGTCCCTCTATGGACTTAAGCAAGCAAGTCGTCAATGGTACTCTAAATTGTCTACTGCCTTGATTTCCTATGGATTTTCATAGTCCCCTTCTAATCATTCTTTATTTTACAAAGCATCTTCTAATTCCTTTACAATGATCCTTGTCCATGTTGATGATGTGGTCCTTGCTAAAAATTATATGAATGAAATTAATTCTGTCAAGAAGAAGCTAGATGATGCTTTTACAATAAAAGACCTTGGTGAACTTTGACACTTCCTTGGTTTAGAATTAGCCTGCTCTAGAGAAGGAATTTTTCTTTCACAAAGGAAGTTTGCTCTTGAGTTGCTTGAAGATATTGGCTATCTGGCTTGTAAATCTACATCCTCCCTAATGGATCATCATTTAAAGCTTTCAAAAACTAAAAGGCAGCCTCTAGATAATCCTTAGGTCTATAGAAAACTCATTGGTAGGTTACAATACTTGACTACCACACGGCTTGATTTAAGTTTTGCAACCCAATTAGTCAGTTCATGGCTAGCCCTACGGATATTCATCTACAAGCTGCCCATAGAGTTCTTAGATAAATTAAATAGTTTCTAGGTGTTGGCATCTTTTTCTCCTCTATTTCAAACCTCAAGTTTTGAAGTTTTAGTGATTCTGACTGGGCTAGCTGTGTGGACTCTCGTCGTTTAATTATTGGCTTTGTTGTTTTTCTTGGTTCTTCCTTAATTTCATGGAAAGCAAAGAAACAAGTTACTGTCTCTCGCTCTTCCTCAAAGGTAGAATATCAAGCACTGACTGCTACTACTTGTGAGTTGCAGTGGATACTCTATTTGTTGACTGATTTCAACATTTCTCATATTGATCCAGTACTATTATATTGTGACAACCAATCTACCATCCACATAGCAACCAATCCTACCTTTCACGAACAAACAAAGCATATAGAGTTGGATTGTCATCTTGTCAGGGAAAAAGTGCAAGCTAAGATCATCCATTTGCTCCCTATTCGAACCTCAGATCAACTTGCTGACGTGTTTACAAAGCCCCTACACCCTTCACAATTTCATGACCTCATTTCCAAGCTTGGCATGAAAAACATGCATGCTCCAGCTTTCGGGGGATGCCAAGTGTAGGATAGAGATTAACATTCTATTAAGTTGAATTGTAAAGTTTGTTATTCAGTTATATCTGAACTAGTATGTATATATACCATCATATATCATTAATGAAAGTCAAGTCATTTCTTCCCACTTTCCTTTTCTTACTCCACATCACAATTTGTGATTCTTGGAATAGATTTAATTTGCATTTAGAATGATATTGTGTAAACATATTAGAGTTGTGATTGAAACGATGGTGTATTCCTTGACTTTGAGTAGATTTAGTTGCATTATTAGGAATGGTTTGACTTGATATTGTAACTGAATCGAATGAGATATGGTAGTTATCAGTTGATATTATTTTGGGAATTTTTGGTCCAACTATTCATAATGTGTTGCATGTGTCTTTCTAAATGCACTCAGCTTCATTATTCTATGAGGTAATGAAGGTGAAGTCACACTCTTAGAAAGATTATCATCATCCTTGCATTTCTTACTTGCCTATGATTCTATTCTATATCATTAATCATTCTTCTCAAATCAGAAACCAAATAAAAAAAGTTTAGGTGATTAGGTACTTAGATAATCAATTCATTCATCATTCTGCTCAATTAATTTGACATTGGCATTTAATTAAAATAAAATCCTAAGCAATTGACCTCCTTGTGAATCCAGTTAGGGTTGAGCCACTATCCTTCTAAAACTTAATTCTAGTATTTTTGAGAGCCTTAAGACAAGGTTTTATCGGCATCCTTAGAAATCAATAGTGTTTTGAAGTATGTTACAAAAGAGAAGGATTGTAATAGCTTAAAAGTGCACAATTTATTAAACTTGTGAAAATCAGTGAAGAAATCTCAAGCGGCTTACTGAGACTAATCGTAGGTTAAAGGGGATGGAGTTTAAGCAATATAAATCACAATTTCCATGTATGGTTTCAGCATTTTATTTTATCCTTTGTTGAATAAAACTCCCTTCATTAATTGTTCTGTATCTTTTTATAAGGTTCATTGAGTTTGTCCAAATATTAAATATATTTTCTTATTTTACCTTTAATTAAAATATTTTCTCTCTCTCTCACTTGCATATTTATTAAAATGAGGATAAATTTGAAGGAAAAAAAATACACTACCTACAAATTTATTATTTTTATTTAATTTTAACCATTTTTTAAATTACACATTTGATTATTTAAATTTTGTAATAAGTCAGAGAATAACAGAGTACTATTTTCCATGAGATATATTAATCAATTTGCATATGCTTGAGCCCCTAGATCCCTCGGCGATGCCTAAGAATACATACCACTTTACTCCTTTCAATCTTAAATGTGAAAAAAAGGATAATTTACAAAAATTAAGAAAATTGGTTAATAGTTAAATTTGTTAATTGTAAAATGTTTGTAGTCATTTCTTTAAAATACCAATTTCAACCATTTACAATAGAAATTACTCACTTTGAAAACCTTTTTTATCGATACATGAAACAAACCACTTACAAAATGAATAATAAATAAGCATTTGGGAACGGGATAAATTTGAGAGAAATGAATTCATCTTATATTTATGATCAAAACAAATCTTTTGACTAGTACTTACATTCAAAATCAGGAAGGAAAAAAAAAAGACTCCCCTTACAAGGTTCAACACAATCTCCCCTCCCGGACCTTTTATTTTCAAAGTTATGATACATTAGGAGAGTTCCATTCTTCCCCCCTCCCCCCCCCCCCCCCTCTCAAAATGCATTGCCCGAATTAGAAGATAGGAAGAGATAAGACAAACTGAGAAACAAAAATTTTCATTGATGTGGCAGAGTTGTTGAACGAGTGAATTACCTGTCTACCTCATTGAAGACAACTGATCCTACAGATCTGTAAACTTTCCAATGAAAGCCATTGAGCTTTGTACAAAATTCCAATCGTACTAGCAGTCTTGAGATACCAATTAGCACATTTCTATAACAAAAGAACATATAGAATCATTTGCATGTCATAAGCATGGAGTTGATAACATGCATTAGAAGACGGATACTGGAGAGCTCAGATCCAGTAATTGTGGGCAGGCTACGCTGGTGATTCAGTATCTGATACACTTGCTCAAAGATTGGCCTCACATGCATTGCAATCATCGAGTCCGCAGGATTTATGACAGCAGCAACATCGGTCATCCAAGACATTTTCCGAGGCCGGTCATTGTTAATATCACAAGCCAGCTGTTGCAGAAGTGAAAGAACTACACCTTGGCTCAAAGGAAGAGGAACCATCGACAGAAGTCCATGTAGATCAACCTTTTACAAAGGAGACACCACCAGGTGGTTCAGTCAAGGTCAAATATTTTATCCGAGTGTTGAATAGAAATACTAGAATGCGGGGCACACGCTCACACAGATTTTGAAATGAGCTATGCTGCTTATGGTTTATGAATAGTAAGACTTATAAATATAAATTTTACGACATATGTTGATGATAAGTAACACCTCAGTGTAACTGCTTGAAGAACAACCCAAAAGTTATGATAATTAATGGGGTAATCCTTGGATTTAGCTCACAAAATATACAATCCACATCCAGTTCATAACCAGAAATTTGAGTCACCGACAATCAAAACGAGGACCCACATCATTTAAGTTACAAAGCATGCAACTGCAACATTACCCAAAAAAGAAAAAAAACAATAGCACCGACAACCAAAACGAGGACCCACATCATTTAAGTTACAAAGCATGCAACTGCAACATTACCCAAAAAAGAAAAAAAACAATAGCACCGACAACCAAAACGAGGACCCACATCATTTAAGTTACAAAGCATGCAACTGCAACATTACCCAAAAAAGAAAAAAAACAATAGCCATGTTCATGGGAAATTCTCTCATCGATTCCACATAGGTGTCTAAGAAAACCCATCATGAGAAAACATATGCAACAGTGTCTCACTTCCAGCTTGAAAGCATTAAACAGAGTATATTGTAAATATAGACAAATGCATGGCATACCTGCGAACATAACCAGGACACAATGGACACATCACTTCGTTGTAGAGCAACAGTGAATGCCTCCTCATACTTCCTTTCTCCTATCAGCCTCGCTAGCTCCTTTGTTGGATCCATCGGAGCCTCAACCTGATAAAGATCTCAAAATTACAGTGTCAATTATCAACAGTTAAATGAAGAATCGCAGCTTAAGCTATTCTTTTCCTAACACGGAGACCCAAAAAACTCACCTTTTCATGTAGTAAGGGAACATTAGTCCGTTGAGAAGGCAATGAATTTAATGCACCTGGGTTTGCTCCAGCAGCTGCTAGAGCCAACAGCTTCTGCTGGCCCTCCACCAAGTCTCTACTCAAAGATTGAGTAAATGATGATGCAGAATTAATGGCATCCTGCAAATTCAGAGAAATACTAAAATTAAAATGCAGGGGGAATTAAAGCTACATATCAGAAGCAGTAGGAGATTTAAATACATTAGTTATAACCTAACCATCAACCGTGTTAACAAGGTTTAAAGCACTAAAGCTTGCATAAAGTCTGAAATAAGAAATTAGGATTTATATAATATAAAGGAATAAGAAATCAGAGTCACAAGTCTGTTAGCTTTCTGTTGGAAGCTGTCACCTGATGGTAATCATATGTAAGTTGAAGCCTTCAAATTGACAAATGAGCTCTTAAATTTTTAAGCAGAAACCAATCAGTATCTTAGAAGACTACTCATAAAGGCCTTTCCTGCCTTTCCTCAAAATCAATTCATAAAATCAACCTTCTCCCCATTAGCACCCACAAACTCCTATCCATAATACAAGTCCAGTTTGATAATATCTAGAGCATTTAATATTTGTTTCCCTATTTTGCCTTTTTGTACAATTAAACTATATAAGTAACTCGATCATTATGATTAATGTAGTATTGACTTTTGTCAAGGGCATATCTGGAAAGCTCTACATTTTTTTTTTAAAAACAATTCAATCTTATAACCACCTGTTTTTTGGTCTAGGTCAGATGGTTAAACCAGACTTGTATTGTGGACCAGAGGAGTATTCTGCATCAAACTCGGTTTGTTCCGCTGGCCTCCAAGCTTCACTACATACACTATCCCACCTAACTAATGCCAGCCTCTACTGTGCTGATTCAGCTTGGAAAGTACTACTAAAATGACAAACATAACAATAGCAGTAGATAGTCATGTAACACTAATAAACTCTATCTTTCATCGAACAACTCTCCTATTTTACCATAAGATTCAAATTATCACTCCCTTCTATTTATCTTAGCATTTACATGTGTTAAATGGTGTGACCAATGGAAACAAATTCAATGAACAGAGGAATACCAGCTAACAAATCAATATGGGCTTTATGATAAACCGTGCAAGTCAAGACAGATCATAATAATCTCTGTGAAAGACAACATTTCTGCCCAGCACAAAATTATAAAAAGGATAAACAGACCCTTAGAGTCATTGCCAATGAGGTATGTCCAGATTCAAGGTGCTGCTGCACTGCAGAGGTATGTTCAACCATGCCTTTCTGAAATGTGGCATCAACTTGCTCAAACATGGCTTTACATGACTTTTCAAATGCAGGAACCACAGATGTTTCAAAACTTGATTTGAGTGCATCCTACAAAAGAAATAATTAACAGTTAAAACAAAATAAGCCTCTGAAGGAAAGAAAAAATAAATACCTTAATGATATCAAGAAACAGTTAATGTGATGTGCATCACAAAGATAAAGCAAGAAAAATACATACCTGAAGCACCTGTTTACCAGTTGTCTGAAACTGAGCTTGGATTTGCCTAGCCACAGTAGCTTCAAGTTTTGAACAAACTGATTTATCAAGTTGGTTCACTGCCTTATCACCCACTCCCTTCTGTAATGCACAATGTCACTTAGATACAAGACAACTCTATTCTAATTTCTACAAGGAAAATTGACATAACCTGACCTGGAAGGACTCTGTAATTGCTGAAGATATTGTTTTCTCAATAGCAGGACTAATTGCACGAACTACAGATGGTCCAACTGCAGCCATTTCCTTCTTCACAGATTTCTCAAATATGGGCATAAGATCCTTGTTCATCAAGTTACTAATTGAATTTGTGATCTGCTGGACACGATCTCGCAGCAACTTTTCATTTTTTGCATTCTCCTCTTGAATCCTAGCCCATAACGCATCATTGTTAGCCTTCACAGTTTTTTCCATGCTCCGTCCTAGGGCTGCCTCAAGTCTTCTGCCTTCTTTTGTAACAGGAACTGCAACCATCATTGTCATCTGCTTTTGCATCTCTTTTTGCATGGTCAATAACTGCCAAAATGGGGCACATCAGAAATGAGTCAAACTACTCAAATAAGGAAAATAAGAGTCAGTCAAGTTACATTGATAAATTTTGCTGAGGAACTCTGAAGATAATGACGTAAGTATTTGTAAACATCTCTAACACTTGGCTCACAAAGTAGTCATAGGTCTCCTACCATGAGAAGTGCTACCTTAAACGAGACACTAAGGCGCATGCCGTTGATGCCTTCTACTTTGTCTTAAGCATGAGAAGGTTCACTTCCTCTCCCTTCTCCTTAGTATTCTTCATATGGTGTTCTTTCTAATCTTTTATCCTATTCTTTTTCTACCTATTTCTCTTCAATATTCTTTCAAAACATTGAACAGAAATCAGTAGAAAATTGTTTAAGGTGGTTTGGACATGTACAAAGGTTGTTGGATGTGCTAATGAAAAGGGTAGATCAAGCAATATAAAATCCTATGGAAAGGGATAAAGGAAGATTGAAAACAACAGTCAATGAAATTATTAAATGAGGTCTTTGGGTTAACAACTTATTTGAGGATTTAATTATTGATAGTCGTGCATTCCATGTAACAAACCCCACCTAGTGGGACAAGACTTCTTCTAGTTGTTGTAGTCCCTTTCTTTCAAAATTTATTTTAGCCCCCTTACTCACACTTTAGCACTCTTTCTTGGATACAATTCCTCTTTTGGCTTTCTGGTATGATTCTAAAATCCAAAACTGTAACTTATTTTGAGTTAAGGCTTGGAAAGAAAGCATCAATCCCTTATTCTAAATTTTAAAGCATAAATGAAATTTTCTCTCTTTCTCTATTTCAAACTGAGTTATCAAGGAAGCAAGTACTGAAGGGTAACAATAAAAGGACTCAGAATGGATAGATATTTTCCTTTAGTACATGGAAGCACAACTTCTTAAATGAGTCTACAGACAACATATTGTAAATTGCATATATCGTAATTAAGTTATGAAAGGTGAGATGCAGAGCCAAGTTGCACCAAGTTGGAGACAGAAGGACGCTGCAAAATGCTCGAAGTGCCCAAGGCATGCAAAAGAAAGATGAAAGAACGAGGGAAGGGAAAAACAGAGAAAAGCAACATATGACAGGCCGTCAATTATGGATTGGCATGCTTTTAAATGCAGAGGAAGAGGATGAGCCTAGGCATAACGGAGAAAGTGTTATGACTTGTCAAAGAAGCTCAGACAAGAGGATCCACTAGATTACTTTGCTATCAGAGAAAGAGGCAGTAAGTGAGCCTTGAAGTTGCACATTATTCTTTCTTCCTCTCTATTTTATCCATCATTCCCATTAATGCATCGTTGGGGTCCTTGCTTTTTGTTTTTTTGTTTTTTTTTTTGTTTTTTGTTTTGGTTCAGTCACAACACCCTGAAAAACTAGTAGCCTAAATATAATTTTTCAAAATAAAATCACTGTTTTACCCAATTCTTCCAAATCCCTAAGGTTGGGCTCGACCTTCAAAGTAGAGTTTCGTAGTTTCCTATAAATCCTATCACTATTTTCATATTTATGGGTTGGGTTTGTAAATCGACCCTTCTCTTATAAGCATGAAAATACTGAGGTGCTTAAGGTACCCCTGTGACAAAGGAAAGCACACCAAAGGCGTACACCTCAAGGTGCCTCATTAAAGGAATTGCCTCTCATGGTATAAAGGCACTGAAACTAAATATCACTTCCATGCTGAGGAATTGGTTTTGATATCTTTGGTCACTTGTAAAGCAGATAAATGCATAAAAGTATACCATGCTCTTGATCATGATAGCAAAAAAAAAAAAAAGGAGTCTAATGCTAACTACCTGATTGAGTGTCTCCTGCATTGTCTGAATTTGAGGAAAAGCACTTTCAGCAGCAGGAAGGTTTGAACTTCCACTTTGTTCATTGGATGAATCAGTTGAGTTGCAAACAGTTGGAGACGGTGAAGATGGACCTGATGCTTGAGAAGCTTTTCCCTTCTGCCTCTTTCCTTTTGTACTTGGTGCGGGTGATGGTGGTAATGTGGTAGATGTAAATGAGTCAGAAGTTTTTTCATGCACATCTTTTGCCATGTCTTGAGATCCATCTTCACCGGCATTCATGTAATTTTCCCCAGATATTGCACCACACTCACGAGCCATCTCAATGCCAAGATCTGAAGCCTGGGAGCAAAAGAATTTCTCCTTATTGTCAGAAACTAGGTTTTGCTGTTGTGTCTGCAGGCCAAATTCATTGTCTTGATCAGATCTTGCCTCGCCAACCATTTTCACTTCAACTTCAGCATTACTTATGTCATTGTTGACAACCACATCCTGAATTGTTCCCTCTCCCCCACTTTTGCTGTCAACCACATTAGTTTCAGAGGAAGAACCAGCTTTAATGATCTCAGATGGTGTAACCAGATGAGTTGGATGCTTAAACATAACAGGAGGATTAAGCACAACAGATGCATCATCCTGTGTGGCTTTATTCTCATCACTCTTTGAATCATTACCAAGTGGAGGTACATCAGATAAGTTCCTACGAATTGTATCCATTTGCCTGTCAACTGCGTAATCATCAACAGGTAACTCCCCACCCTGGTCACCAAGTGCCAGACCTGACTCAAAGTTAGATGGAAGATTCCTATAATCAGACGGTTTCTTGGACAATCTTGGGCTCAAAGGAAGAGGTGGTGATGGGACACAAACAATATCAGCATCACTGCTTGATGGAGCCAAATTAACAGCTTTAGCTTCAGCATTTGAAATGCTAATTTCTTTAGCCTCAGCAGGGCCAGAATTTAAAGGGTATCTCGCTACAGCTGCATTCTCTGGACTGCTTGCTTGTGCCATTTTAGAAGGAGAACCGGTTAATGGCATCTCACTTGTTCTAATTGCAGATGAATCCAGGGAGGTGAATCCTTCAACATTGATTGCATCTCGTGAAACACTGGAATCAGACTTCTCTAGTCCCACATTTTCAAGTGGTGGAGGTAAACACTGAGTTAAATCCAAAGCATACTGCTGAATAGCTTGTGTTTGGACACAATAAACCTGAACAATATGTTCGCCATGTGGTAATATATCACTTGTCCCAGTAAAACTTAGAATAGGCATGGTCACAGTAAACTCTGCTATATAATCCATGCGAGTTGATTCTGGGTTAGGACCATACTCTAAGTGCACAGCATATATAGCATTCTTCTTGGCATTTGCAAGCAAAAGAAGACCTGCTTGAGACAGTGCTGCCACTTGATTGAAAAATGCATCCTCAGCTGAAGGTTCAGCTGAGCTCTTTAACTCCAGTGTCTGAGTACACTTCCATGACTCAATATCACTTGGGAGCAGCCAACCTTCGTCACTTGTTGAGGCCCAAAGTTTCACCTCCCTATTTTGCGGTCCCTGCAAAAAGGTTGTATTGAATAGGTGATAACAACTATCATTCATTAGTAGAGTGATGATGATGTATCTCTGTAGTAACTTTTAAACATTTAATTTATAAGCATGTAAGATGTGATACTATACTCAGGGGGAAAAATTATGCTACCAGCAAACTTTCTAAGCTTTAAATATTAAGCAGAACATGCTTGAGGAAAAAAAAAAGATTATTAAGCTTATTGGGCATACTTACAGCAGTGATAAGCACAATATGATCAGGGCGGTGTGGAGCAGTCAAAAATGTAGCTGAATATACAGGAAGCCCACTGTGTGGTATCAATACCGCAGGTGGCAGCACCTTTCGATCTCCCCATATCATTATCTGTTGGTTAAAGTTTTATCAAAGAAATATAAGAGGCAGGTAAAATATAAATTTGATCAGGACATATGCATACATATGGTACACTCAGACAAGATTCAAATGAGTATATAGTCATAGCTCTTGTTCAGGCAGATTCCCTATACTCAGAAAAGTGATTTTTATAGGTATTTGAATTACTTTGTTGATAAACTCTCTGATTGAATAAAGAGGAGTGGATTTCCACATTTCTTGGTCACTATAATTAAATATATCGGTAATAACTTCAGGTACCACCAAAGAAGGTGAAATCTGAGATTTTCCTTCCGCCTCAATTTTCAAGGGCAAATTTCTTGAACCATTTTGAGTGCACTCATATGCATGCACCCAGACAAGCACCGCATGCATAGATGACAGGCATATAGGCCCTTAACAATTCACACAAATACATAAACATGAGTACACACACTTGTGCATGCACAGGCAACATAAAAAGCACACGTGTGCAAATTACACATGCAAATGTGCTAAACATGCATACATGTGCATGTGACGTGTGCTTGCATATGATATGCCATAGTAACAACTAATTTTTGACAAAGACCAAAATATAAATAAATCCCTCACCAAGGACCCAACTGTTGTTTTACCTTAAGTTTAGGACTTGAATTCAAAATACAAGGAATTTGATTGGTAGAAAATTAAACTTCTTGCATGTTAAATTCCAAATTACACAATCCAAAGACAACCTTATCTCTATCTTTATTTTCCACATAAGCTCAACATCCTCAAGTATTCTCCACTACCCATACTTTTGTTCCCCCCCCCCCCAAAAAAAAAAGAAAAAGAAAAAGAAAAAAGGAAGCACCGCACTCTTTCTTGCCGGTCATCATCATTTCATCCGCTTCGAATATATGGACTATCCTAAGCCTCAAACATTTTAAACATGAGTAAGAAGAAACCATTCAACCCATATCTGTTCGATATAATTATGAACATCAAGCCAATGGAGAATTTATTAATGACAGCCCAGGTAGAAGCTGCATAGCCAAAGTTCTTTTTCTCTTTTTTTTTTTTTTTTTTTTGGGGGGGGGGGATTGGGGGGTTAATTAAACAAACGTATATATGTAAATTTTAAATATACCTTATCAACATCTTTAAAAAAATAATTTTATAATATTAAAAATTAATCATTAAGTAAAAAATAATCTATAATGATATTAAAATTTTAAAAAACAAAATTAACAAGTGTACAACGTAAAAGTTTACTGTCAGTATATTATTAAACTTGCAAAAACTTCAACAGAAGAAAATTTATAAGAATGCATAATAAATTCAATCAACATTAACCTCGATTGATTAATAAAAACATATTTTAGTCAGCAAAGACTGGCCTGGTTAGTACGGAATTGGCTTATAATCCACAAATCATAGGTTCAAATCTCATTGCCAATGCGACGATCTCAATAGTGGGTGATTTGTAAGTATCTCTATAAGCGCTCTAAGCCCAAAGATATGATTGACTTAAGTGAGCCCACGAGACCCAACTTAACCTAACCATCTATTTCACGCAAAAAAAAAATCTTAATAAACTGACAACAGTAATTTTTTCCATTAAAAATTGCATAGCTACCACTCTACGAACTCGCTCGCCAATAAGATCCTTAAAGTGCTCTCCCATCATTCAGACTCCAAATCAAACACTTCGCATGCACCTCTTTAGTCGAGATCATAACCTAGCCATTCCACAGCCCCCCTCCTGCTTCTGCTACCATTTTCCAAGAAAGCTGCCACGAAGACTTTTCCAGAATTTGTCAGTTGCAGCATTTCCGGATATGCAAAATATGCAGACCAAAGAGGTGCATGCAAAGTGTTTTATTTAGAGCAAGATATTACATCATGACAATCTCCTAAAGTGCACGCCTTTCTTTTTCCTGTCCCCTTAAAACATTTAGCCTAATACCTGTTTCAAAATTATGGTTTAAGAAACCTTAAGTTATTATTATATTACTAAATTTTCAATTAAAATATCATTAATAAATCGATAAATTTTGCTAACTGAGTAATTTTTATATATATTTAGATTCTCTTTAATAATGTCTTAAAGGTAGAAAAACATTAAATCAACCTTTCGAAGGAACTTATGTCAGTTGATCACCAATATCCCCACATTTTAAGCCAACTAATATTTACTCATAAATACCTTGGTGTTAGCAATTCTGGACTTCAGTCAGCATCACTTCTTTGGTCTCTTTGACATAAAATAGTTTCCATAGTCACCATATTTCAAATACAAATGCATAGCCTATCATCTCTCCAAGTCCAACACATATATAGCCATTTTTCAGTAGTACTTCATTCCATACCAATATATTATTTCATCATATTTTGACTCTCACTCTCTGAAATCAGTTATTTTTCAATCTCATAACTTTTCAAGTTTGTTTCATTTAAAGCAGATTGATCACGTCATTTGCATCACAAATACCATCAGCTGATCACTGGCCTGCATATCAAATATTAAATTTCTAGGTTTTTCCTCTATTTTTCTCCATGAAAGTCAAACTAGCCTTCCACACCTTAGTGCAGTTGAGTCCTAATAACAAACTCAATAAGCCTTCTTCACAAGTTCAAAAGACAACATCAATCTAGAGAACTAATCAATACTCCCTCCGTTCCTTTTTATAAGCAACCTTAGACTCCATCACGTAAATCAAAAAGTTAGTTACAGATAACAAATAGGTAGAAATTGGAAGTTCTTTCTCCAAAATACCCTTATTTATGAAAGAGAGAGAACGTCAATGGAGAGAGAGGATGGTTTGAGAAATGAGATAATAAATATATTGGGTATTAAAATAAGTAATTAGTGGGGGTAAAATAGGAAATTTGATACAAAAATTTAAGACAACTTGCAACTTGTTCTTTCTTCAACAATTCTTGATCTCTAGTGGACCTCTCAGTAGGATTCAAACCCAGATGAAGTTCTGACCATCTTTCAGAGGAAAAAAAGCAAATGGATCTTGTAGGATTCCCAAGAAATTAAGAGGGATGGTAGTTGTTGCTTATAAAAAGGGACGAAGGGAGTACTAATGAAAGAAAACCAAGATAGAACAAATGTACAAAGATTATTTCCCAATGTTGAAATGAATAAGCAACGTAAAAAAATAATGACGAATACCTAAATACAACAACAAAAATTAAGTTCGACCTCCTTATCTCTGAACACGAGTTCTCGTTCTATTTGGGATAGCCATCACTTATATATATGAGAAGGAATTCTATTAGAGATAGAAGGAAATACAGATTTATGGAGATGCAAAATCCTCAAACCAGAGGTGATAAGGAAAAAAATAAAACAGAATTAAGTAACAAAAACACCCAAAACTTATGAATATAATAGAGCTGTCCAATCTCTTTGCATATCAGATGCAATACCTCCCTTTTTAAAGAGGCATGTGCGGGGTACCAAACAGATGCCATGAAAATAATTATATACTTTAAAGATTCTCACATTCCTCTTCAACCATACAAAGCAGGGAATCCCTTTAACTGCAAATTGCTGCAATGTTTTGGTCTCCTTTTGTCTACCAAGCCTTTTGAACTAAAATACGAGAAACTGCTCTAAAGCACTAGGACGCACCTATCACGCCAACATTCCTAACCACTCAAATGTATGACTGACACATTATTATTAAAAATTAATTGTCTGAATTTCATGAAATAAATTTTTTTGAGAAACAAAGAAAACTATAATCTGGAAGAAGCTAAAGGATCAATCAGCACAATCAACCCACAGATTTTGAATTTCCCACATGGACTCTCTGTTTTGTGCACACAGCTTTGCATTAGATATTTCACAAGTTTACTTCTGATGCAAAAATTCTCTTTAGAGAAAGGATGCTCGTTTTGATTTTGAATGCTATAAATAATCTTAGTAGCTCAGACGCACTCTTCAGAATTCTTTATTTTTCCTTCTATCACATGTAAATCTTCTTAAGAACTAAAGAAAAGGTTAATTACCTTATGACATTGCATACAAAATGCTCATGAAGCACTATCTCAGATAAATAGCATCAACTTAAATATTGTCTCAAACATTGAAACAAGCAGATAGCAGACTAGCAGTGAAATATAAAAAGAAAACACATACCGTGCCATCCAGCGATGCAGATACCAACCGATTTGTCATCCACTGGCACATTGACAAATCAGTCACCTCCTTATCATGTTTACCCACAAGCTGAACCCCATCAATGAGCTTGTCTACAGAACATCTTAGAGGCTCCTCTGCTACACAAGCCTCACCATTTCCAACTTTAGTAGTGTCAATTCTAAGAATATGTTTTCCTATACCAACAACCAAAACCTCCTGTATGAACAAAGTTCAATTAACATGAATTTCGAAATATATATTAAATTTCATTTCAAGCACTCAAATATTAGAGATATAGCTTTTGGAAAGAAGAATTCAAGAGAAATTACTTGTTTGTGGCAATGCCAGCAAATTCTGGGATTTGAAGCTTCCTCCTGCCCTACTACTTGAATTGCAACAAGAACCTTTCCAGTAATTTGAGGTTTATCTTCTTCATCCGGACCTTCAGAGATCTTCCACACATATACACGGCCATCTATGCCAATACTGTGGAAAGCAATGTTACCGCCATAATGTAATCCAAAGAAAGAAGAAGGGAAAAAAAGGGCCATCAGTATTCAGACAACAAAAAATACCTAGCCAAGAGGTGAACATCTTCGGCAAAGAAAGCTAAGTCTGTGACCCTCTGACAAGAACAAAAGACAGGGAAAAAATTAGGTAACAAACAATTTAGTCATTCCTTTGACGTTTATATAGCGGAGTATAAATTGAGAAATGGAAAGCATGAGTAAATAGACAACAACAACCTTGAAATATGTATAAGCAGTCTGCCACAAAAATGAACAAAACAAATGATGTCTTTCACCAAATATCATGCTGGTTATGAAATTAATTTTCATTTGAAGTTTGAACATCAATACATTGCTAGAGGAGATTTAACACGGACATTTTCCACTCCCCACTTCTGCTATCTGCCAACTTTTTCTTGCGAATTTGACACTCAAACATAGTGATATTATTGAGTAAAACAGAATCTTGGGAATAGATATATATATTTCCGATTGAGCCCTTCATTTATGAATAGATTTCCTATTGAAATCTAGATCTAAATTTCAAAAAAAGAAAAAAGAAAAAAGAAAAACAGAAAAGAAAGATTGCTAGCTACTCCGTGTCTTTGTGGTTTAATGCCATAGTTCGAAAGCTGGTATAAAAAATCAAAAGATTTTAAATGCAAAAGATAAACAAAATAAATAATTGCTGTATGCTTTTAGGTAACATGTATATACTGAACATGTCCTGAAACCACGGTTGAAGACAAGGATAAAATAATTATATTCAAAATCATAATACGAACGTAAAACAGTCACAATCCTAAGGATATTGTGAAAAGCATCTCATCTAGTCAATAATTCGAGGTTGGTTCAAGGATCAACTGGTCTAACTAAATGAAGATCAGTGGAAAAGGTAGCAGCTTATTTGACGCATCCTTGTACTACTCAATCTGCACCAAACTGTCGATCAAATAGGACTTCTTCATTGGATACAGTCCAAAGGAAGGCCATTAAACAACTTATCCTTTGGCCTACATAATATGTTTTCTACGAAGTGTTCACAGCTCAAAATAAATCCAAGCTCAATGCATAAATATAATGTCATTTAAACAAAGTGATGACGACTTTAATAGGACTGAAGACTCTAAGAATGGAAAATTAGAAGTCATTGGTCACCAATAAGCCCATCAAAGCAGAGAGCTATAGAATTCGAAGTTCCACTAAGTAAATCGAGCAACAGGCATGAACTATAGGAGCGATTTTACTAGACATACTACAACTAAAACAATACCTGAGTGTGGCCACGAAGCAAAGATCTCAGTGCAGTGTTGATATTAAGAACCCGAATGTTCCCTTGTTTCAACCCATAACAAATATATGATTTATTGACAGCAATTTGACGGCCCAAAACAAGTTGAGGATCCGATCCATACTTTGTAATGGGAGTAACTTCAAGCTGAGGTTGCACTTCCCCTTGTAATCTCACATCCACATCATACACAACATGATCACCCACCAAATGCCGACCCTTTGGGAGCTTACTGCTCGGCATACGAATCGGGCCAGGCGCAGCACCTGCCCCGGCGATCCCCGGATTGGTACCTGCCAACATGCCCATCGTCGGCATTACCGGCACATTAGCAGGCAATGGAAATTCAGGAACTCCCGAAGAAGGAGGGTGTATGGAATGCAACGGAGCATTAGATTGCTGAGACAATTCATGATTTGTAGTAGGCGGACCACTGAGCAGCGCCATTAAGCGAGCACCGGCGTTAGGGTTGTTCGGTGAAGGAGACGGAGGGAGGGAATGAGGAGGAGGAGGCATGGGCTGAGGCTGAAGCGGAGGTGTAGGGAAAGACAGAGAACGCTGGTGCTGCAGGTTCGGATGCAAATGGTGCTCTTGGGAATACGGAACGTGAGGTTGGGGAAACTGGTGGTGGAACGGTGCGTTTTGCGGAGGGTATGAATAAGGACCGGTGGGAGGAGGGTAAGACGCAGAAGAAGAAGGCGGCGGGGCGGAGGGAGGGAAAGACGTCGGAGGAAGGAACGGCGACGGATTGTGGGAAACTGGATTCGGCGGTGCGGTATTGTTATTGGGCTTAAAGAACTTGTGCATGTCAAAAGGCGGCGAAGGCTGATTTGGGTTCCCAGGAGAAGCCATCATCAGATTGAATTGAGATTGAACCAATTCAATCTGATGAGAGAAGGATGAGATGCGTGTGAAGATTCAGCTACTCCCCAAGATTTCCTGGGAAATGGGACGAGAGACGAAGGAAGAAAACAAGTGAGGCTTTGAAGATTGAAAGGCCTGCAGGTAATACACTGCACAACACTGAGATCTGAACGCCGCACCGATAGACAGCCCCAGAAGGAGAAGATGAGTATCAATGGAAGAGAAATGAACTGTGTGAGACCCGAGATTCGAAGAGGTTGTAAAATTAAAGTTTGGCTGGCTGGGTCGAAACTTGGAACTTTGAATTTCTCACACTACCTTTTGGCTTTTGCCTTGCGATGGGTTAGTCTCTTGAACATATTACTACCTATTATAAACCAAGTGGGTGATGAGTTTTTCTTGCGCACATTATCTTTCATAATCCCAAAGAAAAAGGGACAGTATGGTCAACTTTTTATCTTAGTTCATGTAGTTTCAGTTTTTTTTTAGCTGGCAAAAAAGAATAGGAACATTGCAATATGATCCCATTCAGAAAAATAACCAAATTAAAATCATCAAATTATTATCAAGTCTCAAAAGACCTCATTGCAATAAATTTTATTTATTTAGTTACCAAATTATCTTTTTTTAAAAGTTTGTATTAACAATTAAAGGAGTAGTCGTTGACAATTTAAGATGTAAAGATTAACAATTATCACGGCAAATATTGATAACGATTGCTCTTTCAGTTGTCAATGCAAACTTAAAAAAAAAATTTGGTAATTAAATAAATAAAATTTATTACAATGAAGTCTTTTGAGAGTTGAGAATAATTTGATTATTTTAAGGAACTTTTTTGTATTTAATTCCTTTGAATAAGATCTTATTGCAATTTTCTCAAAAATAATTGCAGTTTTTTATGCTATAATTTTATGAGGGCTTTCCCAGGCGTTAACCTTTAATTAACACAACTAAGTTTTTTATCAACAATTAATCTTGTCAAGTATAGCTGACCAAAAAAAGATCTTGTTAAGTATGGGGACCAAAATCAAAATTTATTAAAAGTATAAGGATCAAACCCAAAGCTTATTAAAATTGAAGTAACTAAACAAGTTTTGATTTTGACCCCCTATACTTTTAATGACTGTCGGCTTTAATCTCTGCGCTTTAACTCAAATTAAGTGCTTATAAAACTTTAAAAAAAACAATATTTAAAACTATAAGCACCCAAACCAAAATTCAATTTAATTTTAAGAACCAATAATAAAATTAACTCAAAAAAAAATACTACTAATTATATAACCATAACCAGGGTGAGAGTATTTATCCCATACTTAACATTATCCTTGACACTTATACATTGATGCATGAATCAATTCTATTTCCCCGTGTTAGGTGGAAATTTATAAATTAGTCCTATGTAATTTCACATTATTTAGAATTTTATAATTTTTTTATTGGCACAAATTAGAAGTATTCTTTATGTTTGAGGCACTTTTATCTAATAAATGTGAATTTTTTTTCAACGAAAATTTAAATATTGATTCTTTGCACTGAAAGGAATTAGTTTCTTCCACTAAATTCAACTCCTATCGATTATAATTTAATCATGCATAACATAACTTGTTATAAATTTTATGTTTTATATTAAACAATATGCTGATCTCAAACTCATTCTCATCTCATTATACTCCTTTGATCCTTAAAATAAAACCTAATGAACTAATTTGAGTAGAATAGGAATGTTAGTTAAATTAGTTCATATAATATTTTTTTCAAACACTGTAATTATTTTTCTTAATTCCTTCCTTCTATTTCCTACTTGATTATTATTTAAAAAATACTAATAGAGTTAATTTAAAAAAAAAATTGATAAGCATATAAAATACATCTTATATATAGGACCAACATTAACTCTCAAATTAGATCCTACATTAAAGATATGAACAGTATTATATTTTTAGAAATAAGACTTCAGAAAAAGGCAGGGAGCGAGATCTCAAGCTTAACAAGCACATCCTTTATGAGCATGTTGAATTGGTTTGCAAGCAATTAGACTGACAAATTTAGGAACCGTAAAAATTACAAAATGGAGAACTAATGCTATGATGTTTAAAATATATAGTACTACCTCCGGTCCTATTTACAAGAGCTAGCTGACTAATTTAAAGAGATTAAGAAAAGAAATTAAGTTAGTTATTTGTAATAAATAGGTGTTGTCTTTCCTAAAATATCCTTACTAATCAAGTGTATTGGCTAAAGCTATTATTGTTAGAAGGATTATCTTAGAAAAAAATAGATGAATATAAAAGACAAAGTAGATTGGGGTCTTATATTTAAGACCAAAATAAAATTCAAATAAGGTCTTATATTAAAGATCAGAGATAGTAGTTAATAATAAAAGAGACATATAAATTAATGAGGTTTCTTAGATTCCTTCTAATCTTAATTCATCTTTAGAAATAAGTGAAATCACGAACTTAACATTTTTTTTTAAATGTAAGTATGTCTAATTTAGTCGATAAGCTGTTGAATTGACGAATTTAGGAGCTAAAAAATTTCAAGGAGATGGGAAATAAAAATAATGATGTTTAACATTATTAATAATAAAAGAGCTATATAAATTAACACGGTTTTCATACTAACAATACAGTTTTCCGTTTTGGGTATGGATCGATCTTATGAGTTTTTCTCTCATTGTCCATATCCCCCAAGGCATGAATGTTATTCATATTCCAACTAAAAACCATTATTTATTAACATGATTATTAATAAGCAGGTAGTAATAGAATAATTGAAAATTCAGTGAATCATTTTATTCATTTTTGTAGCTTAAGTTTAATTTGCACCACTTAAAAAGTATAATTAAGTATTTTTATGTAGTTACATTATTAATTAATTACTATATATAATTGTCATCGTCTTCAAGATTTGCCCACCAGTTCAATTTTCACTAGATCTAGGTGTAACTTGAAAATATCTTTGGACCATCACTTTCTCCCCCTATGTGGGTTCAAATTTCTTTGTTGGTATCACTAGTTCCTTGAACTAGTAGTTCAGAACTTTTTATAATGGTTCTAAATTTAACTGGTCTGAAAAAATTTTCTATACTAGTAATAATTTGAATAATGGTGTACAAAATCATGAGTTCCATTGATATCACAATTGGACTAAAAATTCATTTTTAACTTCTCTTGAAAGTCTTTTTATGTGATAGAGAAGAATGAGTACCAAAAGGAGTGACATGGATGAAGAAGAAGAACCAAATGGAACGACACTGAGGTGAGCCATCAACAAGTGTAAAAGTAATAAAAACGTCTCTCAGTTAAATTCTATTTAGTAACCATATTAAAAAAAAAATTATATATCATTTAGATCAAACCAGACTAAGTGGTTTAGAAACCGATTTAACTCGACTAATTAGTTTAGTCTCTAATTGGTATGATTTCTTTGTCATGTTGATTTTTATCAAACCGAATTCCCTTGAGTCGTACTAGGTTACATGAAACACTGGTTTTTTTTCCCCCACAATCCTACTCTAAAGTTAAATGATTTGAGTGGGATTGCCTGTGGTTCTTTTTCAACAACTGGGTAAACCTTTACTAGTCCCACTAACCCTACATGCCATTGGCTCCTTGTCTTTTATTTCCAAATGCCAACGTGATTGACAAAGAACAAAGCATCCTTCATTTTCCACATGATCGTAATTGTAACTAGAAATTTTTTCCTTGTGCGATGCACGGATTAGCATATTTGATTAAATTTAAAATTATAATAAATTGTATTATCTATTATAGCTCAAGATCTACTTTTTATAGGAGTGCGATTTTTTTATTCATTCAAATAGAACTTGAATTAAAGATGCGGAATTTAAAAGGAATCGATAAAAAGTTAAAATTATTTATTTATTTATTTCTCCATTTAAGGCTCCAATTGATATACTGTTTAATTATGATGCTTCACATTTAATGCAATATATTCAAATTTCAATTAAGATATTATTCAAACTTTAAATTAATTATTAATTTCTTCATTTAAGCCCCTAATTGAATTTCATTTATTTATAATATTTGTCATTTAATTCAATATATTCAAATTTTAATTAATTTTTTATTTAAATCTCATTAATTAAATATATTCAGATCCGATAATATCATATCCGACCTATTTTTAAACGAATCGGGTATTAAAAGTTTTTAAGAATATAATTGAAATTTGTGATTGATGATTGATAGCGTGAAAGACCCCTGCTTTTATCATATCTTTAATATATCAATATATATAATTTCTAGGAAATAAAAATAGACTTTGTGCAATACACATGTTATGCCAAGTGCAATATTATTTACATAATAATTAGGATTCTAATTTCAAACACACTGGTAGCACTATTTATATTATAAAAATATGTGTCTAATTCTTTTTTTTTTTAAGCTTTGATTATTTGAGGAAGAAATTCTGGACAAAACCCACTCAAATCATAAAAAGGTTGCCATATTAAGGATCAAATTGTTTTCTTGTCTTTTGACAAAGAACAAAAGGTTACCTCCCATAAAGAGTTTTCCTCTCACTAACATATTCTACTATACGTACTTTTTAGCTGCATTATTGCATGAATCCCTAGCTTACCTTACGAATTAAGGATCTTCTAGATTTATCTTATTTTGATAAAGATATAAGGTTTATACTCCAATCCCAAACATCAAATTTTTTTTCTTCTTCTTTTAATTGGAAAGGAAGCCAAACTGGCCCTGCGCCGGGGGACGAAGCTCCCTATTGGCCCTATGCAAGGGGGGCTACTTTGCCATTAGGGCAATGCCCCAAGTGCAAATATCAAAGTTAATAAACGAGTGTGTTTTAATTCCAATTAAATGTAAGAATTTAATTAATTTTATCCCTTAATATTATAATTATTTTCCTAAAATGTCTCTATTGTTCACATATATTAAGAGTTCTTTTTTTTCCCAATCAATGGAGTAGTTTTAAAAACAAATGATTAAGAATGTGCATTTTGAGGAAAACAATACATGTTTTTAACCAAAAAAAAATTATTAATATCAGTAAATTACTTCGTCAGGTTCTATTTATAATATCCCAAAATTTAAATTAGTTTGACCTTTTTTATAGGATCCTAGTAAAGGTTGTCTAAATAGTAGATGTATTTTGACCAATTTTTTCCTTAATTAATTTTCTATTATTTCTCCTCATCTTTTCTTCATATTTCATTCTCTTTCATCTTTTATGGCATTACTAGTATTTCTCTATCTTATTTACTCTCTCATTAAATAAGGACATACTTGAAAGAAAAAAAAAAGACATTTAATTTTTATATATTTATTGTGTTTAACTAATT